CTCCATCATCATCATCCCCTCCATCATCATCATCCTCTCCATCATCATCATCCCCTCCAACAGCATCATCCCCTCCATCATCATCATCCCCATCACCATCTTCATAATTATCATCCTTATCACCATCATCATCACTAGCATATTGTCATCATCTCCAGTAATCTCATCACCAACAACCCCCATCACCCTCACAATAAAATAAGCTTTCTTGCAGCGAGATTTTTTATCTCTTTTGTGTTCCCTGCGTTATCCCTAGAGCCCTGCAGAAACTAGGCACTCAATTAAGTTTGTTAGATGACTCCTCATCAGTAGAGTCGCTAGGATTTTTAAATCTTTATTTAAGCAAAAATGGCTGAGATGTTGACACTCATCAAGCATGCTCTAACAGAGATGCGACTGATTTGTACTTACCCGAGGGGCCAGATTGAGAAGCTGGAGTCTCAGATGTTCCCAGGTCCACTGAGGAGGTCCCAGGAGCTGAGGAGAGGACCTCATTAGTGAAAGCATCAAATACTCCCATGGCAGAAATGCCAGCAGATCAGAGTATGTATGGACCTTGCTGCATGTGGGGCTTGAGCGGGGTCTCTCTCTGAAGAGACTTGGGCCAGAAGGGAAAGAGAGTAACTTGTGCTGTCCCAGCTCCTGTGCTCATAGAGGACATAGGGGCAGGTGAGAAGGGGTCAGCTCTTGCCCTGCATGGTGTAGGAACAGGAGCATTGGAACATCAGTGGAATACTCACTGCTGGTGCTGGGCACGGATCTCTGCTGTGTGAAGCCTGTGTAGAAAGGGAGGGAGGAGAGTGGGTAAGGATTAAGGGAGTAGTGGGAAACTATATAGGGGTCAGAGTACTCTGGTGCCATGGAAGGAATTTCCTAGAACACGAGTCATTGAAGATTTTTTATCAGTACCCTCAGATCTAGAAAGTGGATCCTGAGGATGAACTCAGTCCAAGATGAAAAAGAAACCATGAAGTTCCAACCTTCATGGTTGGAATCACATACAGACAACATGGCTGAGTATTCAATAGCCAGGCAGGGAGTGTGACCTTAAGGCAGAGAGTAGATGCTTCTCAGCAAGGAGGAAGAGACTCCAGCCACACCAAAGGGACTCACCATTGACATAGAGACTGTTCCTGCCCAGGGTGTAGGGGCCCAGCTCAGTGATGCTCTTGGTCAGCTGGCTCAGCTCCCAGTATAACTGCTCTCTGTCCAGCCCGGGGTTTTTAGGGTCAGAGCGGTAGGTGCAGGTGGCATCCACTCCAGTGGCTGTACCATTCTTCTCGGGCCTGGGGAGGGCAAGATTGGGGAAAGACAGTACATGGATTGCCAAGGGAGGGGTCCTGAGATCCCAGGAGGCAAGACAGGGAGGGTCCAGAAGAAATGAGAAGGCTGATACAGAAGGGAGAAGCCACATTTCCATTCTCTGAGTGCACTGACTCTCAGCCAGCCTGTGACTAAAAGCAGAATCATGGATGCAAAGATTTTTATAAAATTGCAAAGTGGAAACTGCATTCTTGTAGCATGGGATCAGGAGAACTCATACTTGAGACAGGTGAAGAGCTGGGATTGGGGATGAAAACAAGTGGATGAGGCATGATTTTCTTGGGAGGAATTTTGGGAAGAGAATTTAACAACTGGTGGAAAGGCAGGTAGGGGAAAGGAGGGAAATCAGAGGGATGACCAAGGTAGAAGCCCAGTCCTGCTGATAAGCTCTGTAGAACCTCTCAGATGAGGGGAGAGGTGGTAAGACCAGGAAGCACATTGGTCTTGGAGCCACTGCCCCCTAGATTCCACCTGTGCTGTGGACATCTCCAGGGAGTGCAGAAAGGAAGCAGGTCAAACTTCTAAGAGCAGTCAGACTGGCTGTTCTTAGTTCTCACCTGAGCAAGGTCAGTCTGCAGCCAGAGTACAGAGGGCCAACATTAGTGTTCTTGAACAGGGGCCTGAGCTGTGGGGGAGAGAGGGGAGGAGAGTGGGAGGACTGAAGTCATAGGGGTATGGTAGAAGGGAGGTGGGCATGGCTGGCATCAGTGGTTGGGGCATGCGTATCTGGGGGCAAAATGGGGTGAGATCTTCCATGCCTTCCCACCTTCCGTAGGTGAGGTGGACAGTACTAAACAAGGTGAGTGGGATAGAATGAGGTAGGTGGGGCTCATACCAGACCCTGAAGGACTCTGTCTGTGGTGTTAAACTTTCTAGAGCCAGGGTGATGCATGTTCTCCTCATACCGCAGGTTAGTGATGGTGAAGTTAATTGTGAATAGCACCAGGAGAGGGCTGGCGGCTATAGTGAAGGTGGAAAATAAACGCTGTGTTCAAAAGTGGACTAACGTTGAAGAATTTGTGATAGAAATATTTCTAAATATATGTAACAGGATTTAAAGTGATAAAAGGTTTTCATACCTCCCTTGACTATAATGATAGTTTTCATACAGCATGCTAAATAATAGGAGCTAGATGCTGAGCACAGCTCCTGGTACATATTCAATATTCCATACCACTAGACATTATCTACTACCTTTGTCAACACCATGATCATCAGCAACACTGTGACCATCACCATTATTATTGTCATCACCACGAGCATCAGCACTAAAACCGTGACCATCATAATCCCTATCATCCCCACCCCATCATCATCATCACACCACCACCACAACCACCATCATCCATACAATCACCACTAGCACATGGTCACTAACACCATCGTCATATCATTCTTACCATCAAAACCACCATTAACACCACCACCGCCACCATCATCATCACCATCATCATTAT